GTCCGGTCAATGTGAGGTCAAGGCACATCGGGTATTTCGACCCGGACTATCTCGACCCGGTAACATCATCGTTCAACACAACACCGGCGCTCGATACGAAGTCCTCAACGCCTGTTCCACGGTGTCTTCATCGCCGGGTACAGAGGGGGCCGGGTCAGGAAGCAATGCGAGCCCGGACCAGCGGATCTACGGTCGAGGCGAGTGTATGCCTCCGAGTCTGGCGTGAAGTTTCACTGACAGCAAAACGCAGGGGGTGTTCAGAATCGGATACGCAAGGAAGAGAAGGGTAAGAAGAGGGAAGACGGCGACAAGAAAGAGAAGAAGTCAGCAGGAATCCGCGGCATACGAGGATTTGTTTGATTATGGTAGGGTCTGATCGAGCAAGCACGACGAGATGACACGATACGAATAGGGACGACAGTGAAGCAAACAGAAAGATACCCAATGCAACCTTAGAAGCGATCAAATGAGCGATCTTCACTTCACATAAAAAGACAAGGCTGCATAGCACGTTCGCAGTTACGGGCGGACGGTAAGCGGGAAGTAGCGAGCCGTCCGCGGTGAAACCTTGAGTTCAAGACGCCTTGAAGTCATTCAATGCGTGACTGTGCGTGCCAACATGATGGCTAGCGGATGTACCGGGAAGCGATGTGTTGTCTGGTTGTCTGTGACAGGCACGATGGTCTGCCGACGAATTCATCGCCATTCGACGATCTTCTAGTGTCGACTTTGGCGCAGAGACCAAGCCGACGAGTCCGTCTACAGGAAAACTCTGTTTAGTCGCCATTGTACCTGCATGACAGATGAATGCGTGGCAGGCCGGATCAGGTAAGTCGACAGGCACAAGGAGTTTTACCCATTGCTCACGCAATGTCGGACGTCGCGTTCATCCGAGTAGGCAATCATGCCACAAATCAGTCGAGCGCATGAAGCATCAGGCATCGCTTGGCTTTCGCTCTCGCTCTCAAAACTTCAAAACTCGGCGAGCTTTCGATAGTGTCTCTTGCCCTGATGCGGGGGAGGTCTGTTTGTCCAGACAAATGACGACATGGCTGTATGATATCGTATTCCCAGCGCGGTACGTCTGCGGTCGAGCTACGGACGGCTTCTCCGCCGATTCTCTGGCTCTCTGGTAGAAACGACGCAAGGATGCAGGATGCCCTACCCGTCTGGCTCCCATTGGGTCGATGTTTCGCCCTGACAGCGCACAGCAACAAGGGGCAATGCCTTTTTTTGGCCATTCAAGGTTGTTTTGGGGGCTTCGACCGATGGGGCGCCATGGAGATGATGGTGGGATGGGTGGGGTCGCTTTTGCCACTTCTCTCGTGTCCGTACGAACGACTTCGAGCTGCGTTGAAGCACCACATCCAGTTCATCATCGCCCCCATGCCCTTCCAGGCAGCTAAAGGTCGAGGTCACCAAGTCTGCCCAGACTTGGACTATACGCGATGGCGGCAAGCGGGCTCTTGGCGAGAGCGCTGTTTTCCTCGGCTCTGTCACCTCCGCTGGACGCATCCACCTTGGGGCTTCGTCATTCGACTGTTCTTCTTTTCGTGCTTTGGACAGCATCCTTCCGCCTTTCAAAATCCAATCCTATCGCTTCTTGCATTCTCTTCACCTTTGCATCCCCTCATAAACTGCCCATCAATTTCTGGATAGTTCTTTTGCCTATTTCAGGTTTCACTGTTGTCTCTCGTTTGAGCAGTGATAGATAACTTTCAGACCTCACGGTCCTCCCCATCACAGACACTACCGCACTTCCACAACACGTCTCAAGCTGACGGTAGTTTCGAACTGCGCAAAACTCTCCATCATGCGTTCCTTCACAAGCGGTGCGGCCCTCTTGGCCGCCGTTCAGTCGGCCCAAGCTGCCTTCCAAGGCTTCAACTATGGCAACGTCTTTACGGATGGTCGACCCAAGTCTCTCCAGGATTTCACCGACGAATTCGAGACAGCCCAGAACCTCGAGGGTACCAACGGAGCATTCAACAGTGCCCGTCTGTACACCATGGTGCAGGCCGGCACGACCAACGACCCCATCGCTGCTATCCAAGCCGCCATCGACACCCGTACTAGCCTCCTGCTCGGTCTGTGGGCGTCCGCCGGCTCAGAGGCTTTCAGTAACGAGATTGCTGCCCTCCGCCGTACCATCGAGGAGTATGGCGATCAGCTCGATGGCCTGGTTGCCGGTATTTCCATCGGCAGCGAGGACCTGTACCGCAACTCGCCCACTGGCATCGCCGCCAATGAGAACCCGGGCGCCAACCCCAACACTCTTGTCGATTACTTCAATCAGGTCCGGGATGTCATTGAGGGCACTTCTTTTGCCGCCTATCCTCTAGGCCACGTCGACACCTGGAATGCTTGGGACAACAGCAGCAACCAGGCCGTCATTGATGCGTCCGATTGGATTGGCTTCGACGCTTACGCATACTTCGAGGAAACCCAGGACAACGACATCTCCAATGGCAAGGCTCTCTTCGACCGTGCTCTCCAGCGCACCCGTAACGCCGTCGGCAGCAAGCCCATCTGGATCACTGAGACCGGTTGGCCCACAAGCGGCGACACTGTTGGCAATGCCGTCCCCTCGCCCGAAAACGCCGAGATCTTTTACCAGGAAGTCGGCTGCCCGTTGTTCGGCGAGACCAACACCTGGTGGTACTCGTTCCGCAACAGCCCTGGAACCCCCAACCCCAGCTTCGGTGTGATCGGCCCTGATCTGACCACCCAGCCCCTGTACGACCTGTCTTGTGACGCCGCTGGCTCTGCTTCCTCATCCTCCACGGTTCGGGCCACGACCGCCATCTCTGCTACTGCATCGACTGCCACCGCTGTTGCTCCCGGACCGACGACGACGGTCGTTGCCCCCATCCCCGGCGAACCCGTACAGGGTGACGAGGATGAACACACTGCTGGTCCTGCTCCTATCGAGACGAGCGAAGCTGTGCCTGCCCCCGTTCCCTCGGATGCGTCTGATGACCACGATGGTGATGACAATGGCGAGGAACCCTCCGGTGGCGTCCCCGCCCCTGTGCCTGTGCCGGCCCCTACGGCCAGCGCGCTATCGTCGGTCCACGTTGAGACCACTCTCGTTGGATCTACCACCCTCACCCACGCTTCCGTCATTCCCACTCATGCCGGCAATGAGACTGTCCCTGCACCCGAGCCCACTTCAACCGAGCCTGTCGAGGTTGCTCCTGGCAGCGCTTCGTCGATGTCGTTCAGCGGCCTCGTCCTCGCAGCTGCTCTGGCTGTTGCCCTCTTCTGAGCAAGGAATGACCTTCACGCACCCACTTCCCATACGTACACTCATTCACCTTTCCCGCCAGTACTTTTGCCAGGCATTACGACAAAGTTTAATAGGATAGACGGGCTTCTTTTATGTATCCTGTGTATTGGAAAGCCGAAAGCCGCATGGACGATATTGGTACAAGGCTTTCAAACATATGGGCGCATGATTTGAGCCCCTTGTATTACGTTAGATCTTTATTTACGACACATGACCTACCCATTGAGGGGGTGCAAACCCTCTATTACGCTCTTTACGAATGGATGACTTGGTTTGGGGTTTCGGGGCCATCGTACATATGTTCACAGGACATGTATGACCCCGTTTGATAATATATGACAAATACCGCCATCGATTGCAGACATTTGCAGACATGTGATTTGCTTTCGTTCATCATGGTACTCAATGACCGACTTGTTAATCATCGGAGTTGACGCTTGGAGGTATTACCATTTCGCACTACCAACGTTGTTCATGCCAAGCTGTGCAGTTCCTCGGCTCTTTGGATGAGTGCCTCTGAGCCGCCTGTTGGCGAGAACGTTGTAGTTACTATCATTCCAGAAATAGCTGCGAAGGTGTCTGGTTTGAGGCCCCCTGATCATTTCACATGCTGTCATTTGTTGTATGCGGACGGACAGATGGCCAAGGGGGATCTACAGGGATTAACGAATCTGCGAGATGCGAGAAGACGGGTCACATGGCGAGGCATGAACCGTTCAGCGATGCGTTATCGATGATGTATACCATGGCATTTTGAAATTTGGGACGAGGAAACCGAGGCGTGGTGCCGTGGAAGAATTTGGCTAAAGTCCATGGTCACGGGTCACTCTGGCAGTTTCTCTGCTTCCTTCCCCCCATACATCATAAGATAGTACGACGCGATCAGAGAAGGGCGATGCAGGCCATGGGACGGCAAACCATGGGTGAAAAGACGCCAAGGTGTTGGCTTCCTGGAGCGACTTGGTGATTTGAAAAGTATCGCAGGTGCAGGACGACGAGTTCTTTGTGCACGCATAGTCACCGGGTACGTCAAGCATAGTATCACGACCTGGATCTTTTTGTCCAATCGCGTGTCACGCAATGTGCCGAGCATGGAACAAATCATAATACTGTCAGGGCACCTGTCATGGAAGCGGAGGCGTCCATATCAATGATCCCGAAAGGCTGCACAACAATACTCTGTAGCGGGCACGGCGAATCAGATATTTTCTGCATGTTGACCCAGTGGGTCATGTCCCGTGCAGGATGCAGAGGGAAAAAGCAAAACCAGAAAAAAAAAGAGAAGGAAGCTGAGCTTCTTGTGGTGATCTCCCCGACCGGAATCGAGCCGGTGACCTTTCGATGGAAATCGATGACAATTACAGTCGAACGTGATAGCCAACTACACCACAGGGAGTTGTTGTTGAAAAACTGGGTGGGCTCGGTAGTATATGAGGTATTTTTGCACCGGCTGAGATTTATCCCGTCATGGTGGAGATCGTGGGTCGTCACCGTGGGTGGGTCATGAGGCACCTGGTTACACAAGTATCACTCCGTACTGTCGTTGGAGGACGTCAAGGAAACAGGTGCACGGATTGTTATGTTGTTGATGCCTGTTTCGAAAGACCAAGGTAACATGAAATAAGCGGCGACTCTCATCGGTAGCGCACGTGCTCGTACGGGCTCTTCCCGGTTCGCTAGGTACCTTGACAGACTGTCATCCGTGTCATGGCTAAGTACCTGAACTGAACTTGGGCAGACGTCACGTCTCGCCAAGGGAACAAGAATGAGCGAAACGTTCCCAGTGATTTCATGTGCTTGTCATTTTATTGTCGCCAACTACGAGATAGCAGACCGACCAAGGCAAGCAGCAGTAGGCCCGATGTGGTGAACCTTACGTCGAGCTTAAACAGCTGTGCCATGATCTGACTGCGGACTCTCCATCTATATTTGAGAAGGTCTGGAACCAAAGATCGGCCCCGTCGTCACCTGCCCGTCGTGCTTCCTCGAGACAATGTTTCAAACCCAATGTGTCAACGCCAGGCACAGACAGGTTCACGACGCTCGTCCCTGCAGATCAGCGGAAAGCCTGGGTCTTATCTGGAACACGTCTCGCAAAGGTCGGGAAGGGAAAAAAATAAGGACCTGACGAACCCAAACGGCGCAGCGCTATACCTCCCAATCACCATGTCGCCATCCCGAGCTGGCTGGCTGGCTGGTTGCCGGCCCGCACCAAGCATCCGCGACCAGCAGGCGCAAACCCGCAACCGGCATTGAAACCCAGTAGGCATCCTCAACACCCTTTTCATAGCACACTCAACAGAATGGAAAGTTTTTTTTTTTTTCCTCTTTCAATTTCATCCTGAATCTGTGTTCCTTCCCTGACGCTAGATTCAGATCCCGATTGTGGTGTTCGTCCAGGTGACTCTGTGTTCGGCAAAACAGGCACTCTTCTCAACGGACCATTGTAAAGAGGTCGCACGACACCAAGACCACTTCGACGTAAACGCCCATGACAAGGCCCGTACCCGCAGTATGCCAAGACCCATTAGCGCCGCCAACTGCCGGGCGCCCCATCGAGCGCACATACCCTGCCGACGTCGGGCCCATTGAGAAAGATCGCCCTGGGAGCGAGGCTCATCTTCTCGATACGTAGCCCCCTTATACCCCTACCAAGGTATACTGACAGCTTCGGGCGAATATAATCATTGGTGCATCTCTTTCCACAGTATCTCGAGACGGAGACAGCCACGTTTTGAATGCGTCGGCTCCCCCTCTCCGCGCTTCCGTCAAAACCACTTACGTTTGGACCTGTGGGGTTCAACGAAGTAAGGCAACGTTTTAAGGCTTGTCCCCCTATCTTGGCTTACATATATCAATGGACGGTCTACTGCCTGGGGAGTGCTCAAGAGTGGCGCTGTTC